TTTACGCATCAATATCCGCACTGTATATATGCTCTTATTGTCCATATGTTTTATTGTATTTTTTAAATTTGTTTTTAATATTTTATATTATGTTCCATATTTTTTGTGTTAAAACGTTTCAATATCACCGACAAATTATTCAACTCTATTGCATTAACATATAAAATAAATTAATAATATTGAAATAATATACTTTTCATTCATTTTTATTCTACTGTACTATTTTTCATTACCCGAAAGACATCCGATACACATATGTGACGCAAATCCGTTACTGCATATCAGAATATTTTATTTCTATGATGAATGGAAAAAAAAGAAGAACTTACTGGTGCAAAAAACGAATTTTATACAGTTTGCGGGTAATGGTTTACCGTCACATGGAAGTGTGTTGACGGGCTTAAAAGTTGTAACGACAGCCGAGCAACTGAAAGGCTGCCGAGAAACTCAATAAACAGAATTCCTAGGACACATTGTCGTCGTGCTGCGATTTCTACAAAATTTCACACAACACACTCCTACGTACAATAACTAATAAGAGGCTTTTAAACTTTCGGGTTCAATGACGCTCTAAATCCTCTGAACGCTTCCAAAAATTCTAAAGATAAAAAACATTTATGTAGCCCATTTATCGAGAGCGCTTACTATAATGAAAAATAAACAAACCTTTTTTAATGTGTATTTTGATAATCACTTATTATCTGAGATAGATCTATGTAACAGAGAAAAGGTCTTATATATGTGTTACAAGAAGTTTTCTTAACAGTCAATTAACTTAAAAATGAAAGATTATATACAGAACATCCTAATTTCAATAGATATCCTTTAAAGAATTAATTTTTATCATCAACTTGATAAAAGTTATTTTTGGTATTAAAGAGAACCAATATCTTAAATAGAATTTACTTTAACTAGAATTAACTAAAAATATGATTTTGTAAGTTGCTTAGTTTAGTTCAATTACGAATCTACAAGTCTTCAAGATTAAATTACGAATAAATTCAAATAAAGTAAAACATAATTTTTTATCCCAAACTATAGAAATTAAAGCCTTAAACGGTCTAGTTGGATCTTAATGCTTGTATGATTCTTACGTGAATTTATATGCTACGCTAACTCTATTAAACTACCGCAGTAATAGGCCTCGGTAGTCTAAAGGCTTAGGACGCTCGCACGGTATGCAAGAGATCCGGGTTCGACTCCCGGCCGAGGTAATATTTTTCGCAATAAAAATTAATTATTTACAGATTTTAATATGTTATTCAACATTATTATTTAGATCATTTCGAAGATGCGAATAAGCATCAAAAATTTGTTAAATTGCCAGTCAATTTAACTCGTGATATTACTGCAGTAGTTTAATAGAGTTAGCGTTTCAAGACCGAAAAATCATTTCGGCGCGCGTTTCTGGGGACTACATACGTAGTATATAAATTCACATAAGAATCATATACAATGAAAGGAGTTGAAAAAATAATATATAAATATAGATATATATATTTTTGTATTTTATAATATACGATATAATGAATAGATCAAAGCGAGTGAGTATTGGAGGAATGTGCTCCGTAATCAGTGGCTGTTAGCGTTACAAGGAATTGTAATAGTGATAGTAATTCTTACTATTACGTGGTTTGGACATGAGCGTAAAGAAGATATCGTTGACAACAGTCCTGTGGCACTCTGGCGTTCGATTATTGAGCGATTACAAGAAACCATCATCGATATGAGAACGGAATTACAGTTAAAATAATTTTTTCAAAATTTTAATACACTATTTTTAATTTCAGTTTAAAAAATGCAAACTTCTTTAAATTATTCCATCTCTCAATTATTTCCTCTATTACAAAACATTGCAATAGTAAAAAAATCAATACAACTTAAAATTGAGTTAAATCTTATATCATTGCAGACCTTGTTACAATACCGAAGTGGATATTCAACAAAAGAGAAGAGCGAGCATTCTAAAGCGAAGACGTATTTTTATGAATGGATAACTGGCGTTTTTGTAAACATAAGAAAAATTAAATAAATGTCTTTGTCCTTGTATGTGATACAAATTTAGTCCATTTCTTGTAACTTCTTCTAATAAAATGTCAGAAAGAATTTTAGAAATTTTAAAAACTGTAAAAATATAATACTAACAGATGCCAAGTATACTTTTGTCGGAAACATCAACAGTTTTATTATAATGACTTAATCGCATGTTTATGACGTATAAAATATTTACCAACAATTTTGCCATTTATAAAAAAAATATCAATCAGATTATTATTTTCTTAAATTTTCGGCTTCATTATCTTCGTGTTCTTCATAGAAATAATCACAATAATAAAGTATCACTTTCGTTGCTGTGAAATAAACTAATTGGTGCTAAAAATCAATAATTTTGGCTACAATGAGCCATCATATTATTTAAAATTTTATAATCCAACATGAAATAAAATGCTATATAATGAAATATTATTTTTTTTTAATTTTCTAAATGTAATTAATATTGGTGACAGGAAAAATTTACTCTTGTAATTGAAAAAGCAGAGCTTAATTAAACAATCAACTTAACTAAATTGGCTCTCATATGGTATGGACTTTAAATTGTGTTTTACATATTTTTCCTTGAATTTTTTAGCCAGTTATAAAAACTGTATTATGTGTTTGAAATATATAAAAAACAAATTTACGCAATACTATTCATTTTATATCTCAAATTATAAATTCCTAGCGTCGAATATTTCCAATTAGGAAAAACTAAGCCAATTAAAAGATGCCCAAAAGCGATGCAGCAATTAAAAATATATTTGATATTTATGTAATTTTAATTAAAAAACTAACAGAAAACACAAATTATAAGATATAATGTTAATAATTTTAATATATATTCAACAAATTTAGAAATATGTAAACTCACTTTGCGGTTAATTATTCGAACTCTCATCTATTAATTTAAAACATTTGGTTAATGTATATGAGCATATTCAAAAACATAGTAAAGTATAATTCTTACATATTTTGATGATATCATCACCTATGCTTTCTGCTCTATAACATATAATATCAACCGTTTGACACTAAAAATTAATAAATTTTAATAAAAAATTTTACATTGTATCTATAATTACCCTAATATTTGGGTTCTCCTTTATTTTTCAATTCGCAATTTTCTTTATACAAAGTATCCCATGAGGAAAGGTCAATATTTTGGAAAATATCGGTTATTTTAAGCAAAAATATTCATACAAACGTGTATTATACTCCGAACGGTTTCCGAAATTAAATGCACAGTTGCAAAATTACTGTTAAAAAAGAGGCACTATGTACTTCTTTTAATAATTCATTCTCCGAGTGATACATTAAACAAAAATTTTACCATTCCAACTATCTCGGAAACTATTCCAAATAGTGCATACGTAAATAAACATTTTTGCTTAATGACCGATATCCTAAAATATTGACCTTTCCTCCTGGGACACTCTGTATATATGGAAATCCAAATATATCTGTATCAACGTAAATAAATTGTCCGTTAGTTAAATAAAAGTAAATCAATCATCCGTTAAATTGGATTAATATTTTTAGTGACATGGTGCAAAAACGCTTTATCAAACTTCTACAAAATATATACATATTTTAAAATGTAAACAAAAGCGATTAATAAATGCTACATAAAAGATAAAATATAGGAACGTTAATAGAAATTAGTAACTTGGCATCACACACTTTTAACGTTATATGAAGTACTGCAGACCACAGGATTGATGTTTATTTCCATTTACATGTTACTTATTTATTACTTCATATTACTTCTGCTGGCCAGAAAAACCGCGTAAAAGAGGAAACTGGGAACGCGATATTAAAACAAGCGGTGCATACTAATGTACAAACATGCTAATAAAAATTGCCACGCTGCAATCTGGTTGTCTATGTTGACTTCTTTAGCTGGTAAAAATGCATCCAACGTTTCTCTAACGTTCTGTCTTAACAAAAAAAATTTACAATTTTTGGTAAAAAATAAAAAGTTACATTATAGAATTAACATTAGTGTAATTTCATTTTTGGAATTATTTGAATACAGAAATGTAACATGTGATTATCCGAGTAGAAAGAGAGGGACATATATATTGTTCCGCTATATATTTTTATTGTTTTGTTTGAAAAACATTACAGAAATAATCATGTGCATTTTAAAACAAGATATTTTTTATTGTCAATATAACAAAGAAGTCATTGTTTGTAGGTTTTAAAAAATAAAATGTATATTTTGAAATTCTGTACGCACATAGAACTTCCAATAGGAAATATTATTTTGCTATTTTTTAATATGTATTTTGTATGCTTGTATAAAATCGGATATACACACACATACACACAATCGCGAAAGTCAAATTAATAAAAATCTCATATTAAATTGTTTAAAGTGTATATATTTTTTATCTATATCACGTGTTTCTCTCGCGTGAACTTTAAAAATATAAATTTATGCTAATACTTACGTTTACATTTAGATCAGATTCTTGGATTATATACGCACATTTTTTTTGTATCATACAAAACATCTCAAGAGGAGAAATCTTGTAAATATATATGGATCATGTGGATTTATATTAAATTTCGAAAAACATTGATCGTACTTCTGTACCCATATTCACAGCTTAGCTCACACTCTGTCGCGCATTCCTGGGTTTTGCGTGCGACCAACATCAGCACTGACATGCCAATAAACAAGGTGCATCCAAATCGCGATGCGAAGGAACATGATACATTGCTCGCTGCCTCATCCGAGAGATTTATAAACGTATGTCGCTATACCGAGGTTATATTCTGAGTCCCATATGACATAATGTCAAAAAATGGGAAAATAGATTATCCTGATGGTAATGACGATCGGGAGGACATTCAGTGGTTTGAAAATTACGAAAAATGCATCAAGATCAAACATCTTGAGAGGCTGAAAAATGAAGATATATTGAATTACATTAAGGACGTTGAACAAAATTGTCGTCTTGAGATGAGCAGTGGTGACGAGGATTATGCCGGTACAAAAAAGTCCAGTAATTGCAGCGTAAGGTGTTCAGGTACACGATTTAAATCATTAAAAAAAGTCAAATCTAGAGTAACGAGAAAAAATAAAAATATAACTTTAAAAAGGAAGACAAAACGATCGTCCGACCATAATGTCATGAGTGCTTGCAATTGTTGCTGTTCGGCGCGAGAATTTCATTTTCGCAGCAATCCTGATTTTACTGTTCGAGAAAATTCAAGAAGAGACCTAAATACTTTCACTAAATCTGCTTATCAACATCCAAATTTATCAAAAAATTCATACAAACATCAAACAACTTTACCTACATTCCAGGGCTGGTATTCTATAGAGAATCGTAAAGGGTGGCCAACAGTTACAAAAATGGCCAACCTCGAAGTCATCAAAAACCGGTCTCAGGACGCTATTCACAATTCCAGAAATAATAAATCGAAAATTACCGAAAGAAAATCTGCAAAAGTTCATACGTTTAAATCATTGCGCAGGGAAAAACTTGACGACTCAACTTATAAAAGTTATCCAAATATTACATCTAACGAGAAAACGACAGAAAAAAATTCTCGTTATAGTGATCGCAAACAGGAAAAAGAAATACGGACGAAGAAATTAAATAAAGAAAGTGACATCAGCGGCTTTATAAATAAACAACCACTTAATAAAATTTATTCCTGCCGAGATATGGGCTTCTCTTATCAGGCTCCATTGCAGGATGGAGACTATGACAGATATTATACTTTGAAGTATCCTGTAAGGAGATCCAGACAACCGACTGCTTGGGATTTGAGTTCGCGATCCAACAGGTTGACGGAATCAGCGAGACTGCTCGAAAGGAGCTCGTTACTGCAAAGGCAAACTTCGCAATGGGTGAATGAAATGGGACCTTCGCTGAAAGCGTTCAGCTCCATTATAGGAGCATCGATCGATAAGAGTTACCAGCGAGAGACGAAACGTAAGAACAACATGAATCAACGGCGACGAAATCCAAACGTTTTAGGGGAACGAGAGCTGTCGTGTTATCGCAGGCCCGGCCTCTTAAAGGAATCCGGGAAGCTGTGCCAAGTGGTACGCACCCGTGAAGATAAGCAACGGCTCGACTGCTCTTGCGAAAACGCCGAGCAAGATGAGACGATGGGTTACTTGAGATACTGTTGCTCAAAAAATGTAAACGATTTCATTCGACCACAATATGAAAATCGACCGAGTACAATGAGCAAACGAGCCAATTACACAACACTTCGCAGAACACTGTCCCAATCAGTACAGTCACAATATAACGATGAAGGAGAATCCGAGTTCAATTTATCGATGGCAGAAGATTCGCAGAATGAGGAGTATGATAATTATGCATTTGACGTCTTCGACGATGCGAGGAATACTTACGACGATGCGATCGACGTGAATTATTTAAAGCCATGCGTATCATTTCCGGACGATCAGGCACGCCATGGCTCGAACGAAGTGGCTCGGGAGTATAAGAAATTGAGTAATGATTTAAAGCGTAACCAGGGAAAATCGATGGCAACGCGGACGACTTTACAAAACAAGATTACCACGAGATATCCTAAGGACAAGGAATTCTCTTTTGCGACAAGAAAACCTGTGTCGGGGGATTCTTCAGGATTAAGATACGATGCAGCAGAATCCACATGCGAATGTAAGGAGCCTTTCCACGATCCTCCAGCGGCGTGTTTAACTGGTTCTTGCACCTGCATTGGGAATGACGAAAATGCAAAAAGAAACGACAGTGATTCATCGCACAGGATATCTGATACGGTCTACAACTGTTGTTGCTGCTCCTGCTCGTCATCTACTTCTCACGACGAAAAGGATCCGGTAAAGAAACTCGAGTCTTTCTGCGAGAGAGTAAAGGCGGTAAATCAAGACATATTCCGTAAATCATCGAAATCCACCTGTCGCAAACTAACCAGGACTAATGCGCAGGAATACGTTCACGATAATAGCGACGAGCAAAATCAATCCGAGTTCAGCACCCAGAGAGTCACTCAAAGAGTAAGATCTACCGAGGGAGAACGGTTAGCGAATCATGCTTGTTTGAGGCTTGAAAAGCACAGTCACGACGGAGCGAATCTGGAGAAGATTTTTATTTATCCGCCGCGAGGAGAAAACGGTCCGCCTTTGACGCTCTACAAAAGATCGTCGAATATTAGCTGTCGTGTGAAGGGCGATGTCGATACAGGATTTCGCTATAGCGTAACATATGTGCAAAAATTTGTAAGCCCAACATGGATGCCTAGTTTAACGCCGGAAGATCCTTCATGGGAAATCGATGAAGGATATAGCTGTTCTGCCGATTACGGCTGAATCAGTGGTGGGTTCAATCAATTTCATCCATTCCAAGATGAATTTGCTCCGGTCGCAATCACACGGAGCAATTGCGTTAATGGAGATAGTATGGATACACTTTCGCGCCGTTCTTAAATCTCATTTTATCTACTCAAACAGTTGTATGCATAAATTGAATCGGTCGATGTAAAACAGCTTAACTTACAAGAGAAAATTATTTTAAAGGATAAATTATACGCTTCACACAATTCTTTATTTAATAAAATCTAGTATTTTTTTACTAATAAATCTTCGGTCCGCAAAAATTGAATATAAGATCTAAATAAAAAATATATTTGTCGTGTGTAATATACCGTATATTACAGTCACATCGTGTAATATACAATACATAATCAATAGATTAATATACTTTTTCTTTGTAAATATTTGTACATTGAATTATATCGTGGCACATTTAAAATACACATTAAATTTATTGATATAATATTACCGTAGGCATTAAATTTTTAGTTCACTGTTTCATCACGTAATGTATGAATAGAATATTTAAATATGTATAGTGACAATTTTTTTACATTTTTTTTTTACATTTCCTTTATTTTGAGAAATAAACAGATTTGTAAAAGTAATTAATTTAAAACGCAGTTATTTTTTGTGGAGAAACTTTTTACGATTTTATGAAGAAAATGTAAAATTTATATTATTATGGAAAATATTTATTATATGTGTATGTAAAACAAATGAATGTGTACTTAATATTCTTCTTTTTCATTAAATAAAGTAGAATAAAGTAGACCGTTAAAATAATATTTACTAACAATTGCAAGATATTTTTACGTAATATCTCCCACACAAGTACGTAGGTATGTACACAATTTCTTCTCTCGAATACGAAAAAGCAAATTTTAACAAAGATCTACTATCTAAAACGAAATGAAATTTGCTTGTGCAGTCCTGCTACCAGAGGCAGTGTACCATTTGTGAAAAGCTCAGCAATCAAATCGGAGCTTTTCCAGCGTGAATGCGACATAGATCGAAATGACTTTTCTTGTTAACTTTCCTTATACACTTAAGAAAGTAGCACATTATGCATTTCATCAAGAACATTAGCTAAAGCTTTAAACTTAATTTTCTCTTCGTTCAGATATATAAATACTTGCAATTAGTAAAAGTCATAAGTATTTTTCTCTTTATGTTTTCAATGAAAAACATCTTTTTTACATAAAAGAAAGGTCTCAGCTATATATATAACTTATAATAATATTAATTATTTAACAATTACTTTATTTATTTTAATAATTATAGTGTCGTTAGATTATACAATTCTTAAAACTGATTCTTTTTAAACATTTAAGAATTAAAAAAATATTTCTTATATAAATATATAAAGGTAAATATCATATCTTATTTTTCAAATAAATATTCTGCATATTTAGAGAGAGAGAGAGAGAGAGAGAGAGAGAGAAGCAAATAAATGTCATAATATTTTAAATAATTTACATTTTTATAAAAATGCGTGATTTTTTAGTAGTTGATTTTCATGTGACATATCTATATGTCACTGTTTAATATCTGTCATATGTGTATGTGTACATTTAACAGAAGTCATCAAAGTTATATCATATACGAAAAAATATTAAAATGAAAAATATGGTATAAGCGCGATTACTTGATGCAAATTTGCAAACGTAATTCGCCGAAATTGTTATCTTTACCAATTTGATTATCCATGAATAATATTAATGAATTTATATATATATATATATATATTTTTTAAATATATTTATATGCATATAAATTCTAATATATGTGTATCGTGTGTCATCTGCGTAGCTTAAGCACGTTGACGTTGATATCGAATAGGTACACAGGTGTCTTCAGAAGAATTGATTCACAAGAACATTAACGTAAAACGAATTTTCTAGGGACAAGTTTCAAGCTGCTGCTACATTTATGTCTAGCTAGAGTTGCAATTTTAGGGAGGCAATCAAGGTATATCATGCAGAAATTTTTTCTTGGAGATATCATCCAAAATAAGATATGCAAGATAAGTGGAAAAAAAAAATTCACTGTATATGTACTCAGTGGTTTTAATTAAATACAATAATGAAATACAATTAAATCTACATATAATCTTACAATCTGATCAAAAACGTTTAAAAAATTTTTTAAACTTTGTTTTTTACTTCTTTAACGTTATTTTGATATCATAACGTTCCTTTTCTAGATAGCAAATATTATAGACTGATTCAAAATACTTTTAGACAATTTCCATTAGAAATTGGGTTTCTTTGACAAAATTCTATTAAGCGTGACTTGTCACAACAGTGTAAGCTTGGTTTGCCACTGTAAGGCTTGGTTTGTAATTTACATCATCATTGCAACAAGCAAAACATGTATGTAAATATAAAACCGGAATTTTTTAATAGAAAATACGTTTATTGCATGAAAATGATAAAAAATATTTTATTCGAAGTATTGCCCATCGCTATAAGCTATACATTTTTCCTACACTGTTAGAAATGTTCTTAAATTTCATTAACTTTTAATGTACATTGGTGAATGAAGTTTAATTTCTCTGTAACTGAAAGGACTATTAATGCACATGTTAATGAGATTTAAGTTTACAGTAACTGAAAAATTAAGTATAATGAAATTTAATATACTTTTCATTTACAGATATAAATAACATTTAATTAATCGTAATTGAAATAACTATAAATGTACATATTAATGAAATTTAATGTACTTTTACATTTTTACGAATATTAATAATATTTTAATTAAGCCTAATACTATTAACGCTTAACGTTTAATACGTTTACGTTTCTTACATGTCATTAACGTAAATTAT